TTTTATGTAAGAGTGCATCTTGGGTGTCAGCAGCCACCACAGTCCCAAAAGGTACAGAACAGTTCAACTAACACTGAGGAGGTTAAGAACATGCACTCACATTCTTTCATCCATGGGTCATGCTTATATTACTTTGGGACAATCTGGGTAGCATCTGTTCATAGATCACATTAATTTGTGAAGTATTCTGACTTCTTAACAGCCTCAGAAATAGATGTGTGTAATGATTATAATAATCTTTAAATAAAACCAGAGTTAACTAGTCCTTGCAAAGCAGACCCTCCAATACTGCATTTTTAAAAAGCATTAACAGTTTTAATTAATAAATTCACTTCAAGCTATAATTCTTAACATTTTTTGTAGCGAAACACATCTCTGCCGTACCAAGAGGTACTGACCTCAGAATTCTGTTTAAGGAATTTATTAAGCACTCCACTATCTATACAGCTATGCCACAATTTTCCAGCACTTTTCCACAAAGTCCATACTTTCTTCTCCATTAAAAACACACTCTCTATAAACTCTTCCAAAATGGTAACAAGAAACTGAGAACTGAAGTACTTTTTTAGAAAACTGTATCTGAGTATAGTGCAATGAATAACTTACTGTTTTATGCGAGACCACTTAAAAACGGTCATACACATTATAGGTGTGAGGCAGTATTCCATAAGCTGCTGCAGTGTGCTTCTATTCCTAGGCGCATGTTCTCAAAGGCTCTCTCAATGTAAAGGAGAACTGTTTAGCTATTAAACCAGCACGTTCCCATCTCTTCTAATTTCACAGATTTAAGTTAACCAGAATTGCCATGATAATGTAATACAGCTTTCATTAAATACCAGAACAAGGATAATATTCCTCTCTGTGCATGAGTGCCCATTTCTCAACATTGCTTCCATGTGTTCAATTCAGTAGTGTCAGATACCTAAAAACCCCATACATATTGGCACCAAACTAACTCAAAATTAAAAGCTGGAAATCCCAACCAGCCTTTTCCTGTTTCAGAACAGCTAAGTTGTCCAAAACCTATTTTTCCATTTAATTGTCCACAAATTAGACGCCCACATAGGTAAATTCTAATCATGGGTTTTGACTGGCCAAATGTGTGTTATTTGACAAAAGCTCTGTTATTCTTCCAAGAAAAAACAAATTTAGTGTCACTAAATACTATTCTAAACTAAAACTAGCTTACAATATATATGGTTAGTACTAATATACATGATACAGATAAAAATACAGTATGAAAATAAAATAGGAAATACACTAAACCATGTAGGATATTTTTTGTTATGAGGATCAGAGTTACTGTCATCTTTGGAATAGAATAGACTATTCCAGTTGGAAGGGACCTACAATGATCACCTAGTCCAACTGCCTGACCACTTCAGGGCTGACCAGAGGTTAAAGCACATTAAAGGGCATTGTCCAAATGCACCTTAGACACTGACAGGCTTGGGGGATCGACCACCTCTTTAGGAAGCCAGTTCCAGTGTTTGACCTCTCGGTAAAGAAATGCTTCCTAGTGTCCAGTCTAAACCTCCCCTGACTACTTTAAAATTAGTAAAACTGCTATCCATTAACTTGTTCTTTGATTTGAGCAACAGTAAACAACAAGGTAGAAAATAATTTATATAAAATTTATGGGTTGAAAAATATTTCACCCCTGGTATAGCAGGACAGTATCATGAAACATAAAAGACACAACAGAAACAGAAGTACAATGCTAAATAAACTCCACAGTACAAGCACATCTTCCTTTACATGTTCCCAATAGGTGGCAACAGAATACCAAAAATACAAAGTAGTTTGTAATTCTTTCTTCATCCACAAAGTGATGGAAGCCCTGTTACAACTTCTATCAACGAACTTGCACCAGCAGTTTTATTCAAATGAATTGTTGCATCTCAGCAACAGAAATTCTCAGGACAGTTAATGTCAAAAGCCAGAGAATTCACAGAACAGAAACAAAGCATTTATTAAAAAGCTAGCTGTTATGAAACAACTAACTGATGGCTTATACTTGGAGCTTATCTGAAGGAGTAAACTATTACAAGCAGGATTTTACAGTTAAAAAAAAAAATCTTTCTGCACATTGAAGAAGGAACTTCAAAGAAGAAAGAAAAGTTTAGTCTAATTTTTTTGTTGTTTACATCCCCACCTTGGTCTAGCAGTATTTATTTACAAGACTGAATAAAGGGGAGAGCATTTTTAAACACAATTTTCAGCTGACAAACCCCAACTTTACCAGTAGCAGCAGGTCGATACTAACTCCTTGATTCTTTGTAAGAAATGACAGGAAAGCAGAGTTCTTCTTTCCTCAACAGTTACATGACTACTTTGTTTCTGTGGCACAGAGCTATACAAATCAAATCAATAATGACTACTTACTTGCTTTCAAAAACAGCTAAGTCACCATCCAAAGAAATTGTCTCTGTCGTAATTTCCACCTTTCTCACACTGCCAAAGAAGTCTGTGATCAGAACCTTGTGTGGGTCTCGCTGAAAGAGATCAGTTCGATGCCCAGGCGTGGAAACGCACAAACTTTTTGGACAGACCTGAAACTGGAAACCAAGATGGACAATCATATCCTGTCCCTCATTCATCAACAGTCGCTACATACACCTTCCAAACTGAAACAGCTATAAAAAGAAAGATAAATGCCACACAAAACTTGCATTAATTTCAGCACAATCTCAACTAGGGAAAAAAAATTGAACAAAATCATTAAAAGGCATAAACATCTTGATTATGCATTTCAAAAAACCTTTATCCTCACAATTATGCCATTTGAGTTTAGAAATGCTTCCGTGAAAGCCAACCATCAATTACATCTAATTGATTAAATGCATGAATGTATTTCTGAATATAGATGCAGCAATGCTGCTATAACCTTCCAAAAAGCTCAAGTGGGTATAAATTCTTCATATTTACCAAAGGGAGGCAGGCAAGATTAAACAAGCCTTGATAAGTAGCTAATAGTAAAGGCTTTGTAAAGAAGCAAGAATTTACATTTTGATTGAGAAGAAAAAAATCTCTTATTTCTAGTTTGTAGCCTGCAAATGAATGCAGAATTAGGATCTTCAAATATCAAGGGTGGTTTATGTACATTAAGTTCACAGAGACATCCTGTAAAACCTACAAATTAGCTGTATACCTTATTATATATTTCACCAATGTATTTTGTCTACATATCAGATTGACTATATCCAGCACACATTGCAACACCTGGAGGACAAGAAGAGCACTAACAAACTGTTTTCAGTGGACTCAATTCTGTATAAAAGTACATTTGCAGAAAATAAGTAGACTTAACAACAGATTTTTTGTAGCATTTAGCATATCTGACAAGACAGCATGTCTGTTAAGGTTGTTATGTACCCAGCAGATATTCAAGGCAAAACCAATGCATTTTGGACAGAATACCTTTTTGCACAAGTCCTACCACGCTCGCCACAGAACTCTCTAATTTCCCATCTGGACAGATTTCTTATTTCAAGGAATCTTGTAATGCACACAGTGTAACATAATAACTCATAATTGGCTTGTATTTTTATTAGTAACACTACATAGCTTAAAGTGCCATGAAATGCAGTCCAAGGCCACACTCTCTCTAGCCCCCTCAATGACCTTGGAAAGCTGAGTTCATGTCTCAATCATTAGAAGGCACTTCACGACCAAACATACAACCCTACGAGACACAGGAGGCAGACACACATCCCTGCAAAGACAGAGGTGCTAGCTGTGCAGTGCTCTGCACAGCCTCATGAGCAAACGTTGCTGTCCATTCAACTGCCCCATGGGCAACCCGCAGACCACCTGGTAACAGTGTAGGTTATGTGAGCCCTTGTATGCTCCAACAAAGAACATTTAACAGAACAGATGAACGTACAGGACTATGAAAGACGCTCTCAGCACGGGTGCTTATATTCCTTAAATTCTCCAAGTGATTTTCACAAACAGGTTCATCAGTCACTGGATCTGGAGCGCATATACCCAATTACGCCGTGGGTTATTTCTTAGAAGGTTGCATTCTTAGGACAAAATCGCAGGTCCTAATTAGCTCAATGCAGATTCAGCTGCAATTATCCCAGATCACGACTGACAAAACCTGTGAGTTTCAGTCCATACTTCCTAGCAGAAATTCTGTGCTCAGCCTGACACAAAATGCGTGGGCTTGTACGGCTCCTTCTCTTAGGACAACAGAGTCTTACATTTAAAAAGTTTCCCAGAAAAGAAACAATATACCTGGCTTTTCTTCACAGAGGACAGATTCTATCTCCCCTCTCCTCCCTTCTGCTCCATTACAGTTTCTCTTTCATACCTTGTCTTTTTTGTCAAAGCCCGTAAGCATATGGCATTGGGCTGCTGCTCAGGGAGACTTCAGCTCACTTTCACCTTTACCTTAACTGACGCATACAAGCACACATATCCACTGAGCTCTTTTTTAATGATTCTCAACTCTCTTGTTGGCAGAGCATCACACAGCTGCTGAAGAAAAGATGGGGCAGATCAAACCTTTCTGTTATCCTCCCTGTGAAGTGAAAATGAACTCGGCTCATCAGCATCACGCTTCCCATGCAAAGCTACTTGTCAATGCACACAAACCCTCTCGTGTTTCAGTTTCACCAGAATGCAATCAATTTTCTTCAACTCTGCTCCCAACTAAGGGCACAAACATAAAAGCTAAGTCTCTGAATTAAGCTATAAAATCTAAGTATTTGTTTTAATCCTGCTACTTGATACATAAATCTATGCTGCAATTACACCATTAAACCTCTCTTCCAAGCTCTCAAGAGAGTGTAAATGTCCCAACAACCGCATCAGCACTGAAAGTGGGAAATTGATACTGTACCAAACTATTTCTAACCTGTCCCACAACATTTACTACTGTAAGATGTTGAGATAAATCCCGAGCAAAAATGCGCAATGGCACTGAGAAGACGACTTCAATACTAAAAATCTACTTATCCAGTACCAGTGTTGAGAAAAGAAAGACTGCAAAGCAATTACACCACAGCAGACTAATGCTAATAACTGAGGTCTTCTGACAAAAAAAAAAAAAAAAAAAAAAAAAAAAAAGCAAATGCTGGCTAAATGAAACACATTTGTTCATGTGTCAATTTTTCCAAATTTTTTTTCAGTAAGGTACTATTCAAATAAAGCTAAACAATTCCCCAAAATGGGAACTTTGTTATCTTGGCTGTTCTTAACAACTTTTTTAGCTATGACAAATGTTATCTCATTTAGAAATGTATTTGAATCTTATTTTAAATAAGTTCAAATGTGTGACATTTCAATTTAGTCTTTACTTTTTTGGAATGGTGATCAAACCGAAAGTCAGTCACTTGCACAGCTTTATGCTATCCCTTAGCAACACAGATGGAGCAGGTGGGGAGTAGGTGGAGTGGATTATGAAAAAGATGTCTCATTCTTTGCAGGAATGTAATATCCAAATCTTAGGTAGACATGAAGAGAAGCTGTTTTAAGAGTGGCTGGAGAAAAGTGAAGAGGTGATGGGATGGAAGCAGTCTAACAAATACACAGTACTTCTAAAAGAGCACACATTTAATGTATCAGAAGATGAAGCAACTAAACATTAGCTAATAATTTTAAAGCTAATTAGTGAGCCACTTAACATGTTATCCTGAGTTTGGAAAGTATTGTTTTTAAAAAAAAAAAAAAAAATAATCAAACATGGAAAAGCAGTAGGACTTTGGTCTTAAACCAGCACAACACAAACAGTGCATTCCAGTGCCAAATAATCCCCTATAACTGTCAGCAAATAAATGGGCTTATATCCTTACCACAGACCAACTATAAGTCATTTTGGAACACTTAGGTGAAGGCCTGAAAAGCACAGACTCTAAATCAAGAGGTGCGTATTATGATTCAGTACCTGATTGTCACGAATCATGATATATTTGTGTCCATTCTCTTCGCTTCCCAGAGTAACAATAAGCAGATCGACATATGGTAACATGACTTAATTATATGCTACAAGGAATTTACCTGTATGGGACAACTTCCCAGAGCTCTTCCTCAGTATTTGGCTTATAAGCAAAACCAAAACCACAAGGGAGAATATTTATGTATCTTCCCCAAAGAGCTCAAAAGGTAAACTACTTGGCCAGCTAACAAGTTTTCTATACTTTTCACAACAATGGGATTAATATCTAGCTGGCTAGACCAGTTATACCACTCCCCAGATGGTGTCTTACACAGTAGAACTCACAGTTCATTTTTTATTACTTCTATTTTTTTTAACATCAATTCATTTTCTGGTTTACAGAACAGAGTTCCAAAGTGCTATTTGAATGAACTGGCTAGAAGAAGATACTTAATCAATAAAGAACTTGCATATTCCTCTTTAACAAGATTTATTTTGAAGTTATCTGTATCCCATGATCAGAAGGCATTGAATTACAGGATAGAATTTCATTCCAATGGTAGTAAAAAAATTCTGAATCTTAGTCACTGAATCAATTCTTTATCAACATAAAATCTGTTAAGTGTGGGCTGTTTAGAGTGAATTCTACTACGCATCTAGCAGCCAGGCTAACACCATCCTTTGTAGACAGAGGGTGGCATAAAACTTTTGAGCAGCTGTTCCTTTTACAGAAATGCATCAAAGACAATGTGTTCTGTAAGTGATGGCTCTTAGATCACCGACATAGCCTGTCAGGATTTACAGCTGCAAGGCACCAAAGCATAATGCATTACTACAATGAAACTAGTATTGGAACAGGCATAAAGGGTTAATAGACTAAATAAAATATGGTTACTTTTTATGTCATCTCACTAGTGTATACATCTAACTGTTATAGAGGCATTTTCATAAATTGTGTCATAGATTATCTGCTTGGGGTTTTTTTTTTTCTCCCGCCTCATACCCGAGAACTACAATTAATATTTACCTAAGACAGAATTAACTCCAAACACTGATGGATTTGGACATATCTTGCTCCAGAATCTAGGCAGATATACAGAGAAATTAGTCTCTGCAGGCACCTGTGAGTGCACTGCTTTAACTTTAACTGTTTAAAACACCTTTGCAAAACAGTATCAATGGCTGCCTTTCCACATCTGCAAGGTGTCTGCTACCCATTAAGCTGATTTTTACAAGCTTTCAACCATCCTTTTTCACGTGCAAATACTTCATTCTATTGCAATGGATATTTAATGAATACTTTATTCATTTTTCAATGAATAAAAATAAAAAACTGGTTAGTTTTGGTTAATGTTTTCCAAAGCCAGCAAACCACTTTCACACCAAGGACAATCCTTAAAGCGTTACACTACGACTACATTTAATAATAGCACAAAGATACTCCCCCCAAAGCTGCTTCCGAGAGAAGCAGCAGGAGAACAAAAAGCATTTGGAGAACCCTATGGACAAAATAAATTAGTTTTGAAACTGTTAGTCATTAGCATATTCATGAATGTTGAGTATTCTACTTACTAGGTCATTCATATTTGTCTGACTGGCTGGATGAATTTCTTCCAAGAACTCTAGCACATAGAATGTGTATCTGTCCATAAGATGAACGCCAATCCCAAGATCAGGTTGATGCTTAAAAACAACACACAGCAGTTACTGGGCATTTGCAGGAAAGAGCTTGGTATTTAGGAGAGGGAACAGAATGTAATAGCACATTACAAAAGTTAAGCATAATATTTTTGTTCTTAGGCAACTTACACAAAGACAATGCTAGCCACAAAGAAACACGTTGTTGACAAGATGAATAGTTTATCTTCATTTTTCTAGACTATATCCTGGTAATCTCAGTATTTGCCAAAAAGCAGGGAACCCCTTCTTCTTAATAGTGCAGTACAGATTTGTGGGCTGCCCCGAGCTGCTTAGGACTTGGAAAAGAGGGCTGGGAGAGACAGCTTCTCTTACAGCACTGTGCAGGTTCAGGTAATCCTCACCTACTGGTTTTGGTCAGGCTAGGATCTCTCTCCTACCGCTCCTTCTGTAATTTAGCTGGGATATCATTACAGCAGGTGAAAGGTAGTGGGTATTTTTTCTTTTTCTTTGTGTATCAAGTGTTAGAAGTCCTAGACTGATTATTCCCCACACATATATCAGTAGTCTTCCCATAAAATTTCCTCCTATCCCAGGCAATGCATAAATTGGCCAGCAAGCACAGAAATCCATTGTTAGTCTGGTTCTTTGGGACAGTGCACAAAACCATGCAGAAGTACACCTACAAGTTTTGTGAAAAGCACACTTTGTAACTAAATACCTTACACATTCAGCAATTAGAAGGGAAGTTTTTACTTAAAAGTCAATAGGACCTGTACTTTTAACTCAGGCATTCTGAAAATTGTCTTCAGGATCACAAAAATCTTACTTACTGATAAAGAATCTTCTCCAACTTGGCTGCTAGCCAAGGCCATTATATTAGGTGAATAAAATCGTTCATACATGGATGCTCCTTGACAAGTATCAATAATAAATAACAATTCATTGTACCTGAAAGAAATAAAACAGCCTCCTTACCCATCTCTCTTTAAACTGAAACAACATATACATACTTGGCTTTTTAGTTACCAGGACAGCTGCTAGGAACCTAAGGAACAGAAGAGTTCACACTGATTGATGATTGTAAAATGTGAGTTTACCCAGAGCAATACATTTGAATAGCTGTAACCACAGAAAGCTGGTAAGAAAAATTAAAACTCTTCTTTCTGAATGCAAACTTTCATGAAATTTTACAGACAGAGCATAGTATCGCTGCTGAAGGTAAGCAACACCTACCAGTAAGACTTCAGGCATGTTTGCGAAATACAGTATTTAACTTCTAAATAACACTTATCTTCTTACCTTCTTTTCTGCCACATTTGTTCAAAAGCATCTGCAAGTTCTACATTTGTGATTTCTTCAGAATCTTGAAATTTTAGGAAACCATTTCCACCATGGCCTGACAGAAAAATCAAAAGTTAAGCAAGTATATAGGTTAAAGGAAGATATTCAGCCTGGCTGATCATTTTTCTAATAAAAGGCAAACATATTCTCTTTCTCCAAACAGACTGCAGCAAAATAAAATATTAGTACAGTAAGAACAGTACACATACATCATTTAAACTGGAAACTATACTTGCTCAGTACTGCCTTGCAGGTTTTTTCTTAATTAGTATGACATGCTAAAAGAAAGAAAAAAAAGCCTTTTGTCGATCCTTTGTTTATTTGGACTCCTGATAGGATTTCACGCTTTCAAACAGGCTCATCTAACTGAACAACAAACATCAATAAATTGCATACAGAAACCTGTAATCACCTGTCATATATATTAGAATATTGCTTCTGTCATCAGAAAGGAGACGTTTAGATCGCGGTGTGCTTGGTGGGATTCTTCCTGTTAATACACGCAGGAAATTTTCGACAGTAACCTATAAATAGAAGCATAAAGCAATTTTCTAAAGAGAAAAATATTGATTAACAACTCCAGGCTGGGTTACATAGAGTAAACAATGGAACACTAAAATACGCAGTGTATCTAACCAGATGTAATATTGCATGGTATACACTGCATAAACAGACATTTTCTGTTTAAGGTTTTACTGCAGGTTCACAGTCATACGGTACCTTTTACTTTAGTCCAGTAACATCAGCCTGTTGCTTTATATCCAATAAGTCTACTACCATTATAATTTCCAAATACATTTTCATTGATCTGAAAACCTGTCAGCGTACAGCTTTATTCTGCCAAAGCTGCTCACGTACTCACAAAATGCTCCAACATTAGTGTGTGTTACCATGGAAAAATAAAAGTTTAAATTCCCTCTGCAACTCAGGAAAGGAAAAATAAGATCAATTTTGGTTACGTAAGTCTTTAAGTGATCAGGTAAGACCCATCTGGATGGTGACTGTAAAACATCCTATAAAACACCACTTCCTCTTCAGCAGACGTACACAGCTCTAACACTAGCAACAAATCCATGCTTAGGAAAAAAACATGATAAAAAGAACATATCTTTTTCAGTGTTGCATTTTCAATTCTTTATACAAAGCTTCAGAGAAATAAAACACATACTATATACTTAAATACAGTCCTATAAACCTCTAGTAATGATTATATCGCACTATTAAACCATGCAATTGATGTCCAATTTAAGATCAACTGGTAAAGACACTGTCTGTTTGAAGAAATGTTACACAAAAAGGAAAAAGGTGACAGAACGCAGATTTCTGTATAGTAATTACTTTACAGTAACAAGTAGGTTATGGCTTTTGTTTTGATAAAAGCATATGCTTAAGATTAGAAATTTAAGTAGGTCTCCCTAATAAACATTTCACTAGCACAGGAGAAGTTTCACAGTGGTGTTAAGTGTTTGCAAGATGAGACACTGATCAGCTATTTCCAAAGAGGAGAAATTTCAGTAATATATGTGTATTCCCAACATATACAAGGAGTTCCACATACTCTTTTAACTGTGAAGATTCCATTATTTAACATAGCCAATACACAACATGTTTCTAGTATAATAAATTTCAAATCAAAGGGGTGTGTGCTTTAAACTGATCAATTGATAACAGAAGCCCAGCCCCAAACCAGTAATGTGAATAGAAATACTTCCTCAGATTTCACAGATGTTGTATAAATCTTTAAAGCAACACTAAAAACAAAGACCCAATGATTTAATTAAAGCGCAGTCACCTCATAGCTTCTGTAATCCACTTCCACATCATCTCCGTAGACATTTAGCTCCATGTTTTTATGACTAAACACGGTAGCTGGTTTGGGATTTCTGGGATTACATGCCATATCATCTGCTAGCATCAGGACAATGTGACTACGAAAAATAAGACAAAAACATTTCAGCCATTCTTCTTTCACATAACAGTCAAACGGAAATTACAACACTGTCCCATGATTACAACAATAGCTTAGAACATTAAGAAGATTCCTGTAATTGTAAGTGAAACTTTGCTTAGTTATACCCTATTTCCTTACGTACACCCTCACTATTATAAAGATACTACACATGGGAAGCAGCTAGTTGTTATTTATCTACATCATTAAGTTAGGACAAAGATGAGCACAAGAGTAGCTGACATTAGCAACTTTATGATACAGGCTTGCCTGGACCTAGGCTGGCAGAACTCTTTATACAAAATCTGGAGATTCTCATGGGGCACTAAATCATTTCATGCAGCTCCACGGAAGAAATCCTAGCCTGTTTGGACCCTCTCAGACAGATCAATTAAAAAAAATTATGACAATTTTTAATTAAATTTGAGGAGCTCCTGAACATTTCTCAAACCATTACACCACATCTGATACACTACTGTATGACTACCTGTGTTAATGGAATTTTTCTAAAGAACACAAGTGGACTGTCACCAGACATTTTGTCTTCTTCATAGTACCAAGAAAAAAAAAAAAAACAACCAGTATTTCATAGTACCAAGAAAAAAACCCCAGCACATTATAAAGCTGTTCCAAACCGCATACAGCTGAAGATCTGTATTTTACCTGGCAGGGTCAGGTTTGGGTCAAAATATGAAACAAGTAGTAGTCGCTGGAGACTGTTAACACTAGGAAGAATGTGCCAGGGATGTCTGGAACAAGGTGAAGTCAGTCCTTTCCTTGGATAATCTCTCTTAGATATAGTTTCTCCTGGACTGTGATCTTTGCGTTCTCCCAAACAATGCTTACAAAAGAAAAGCTCTGTATCCCGCAAAGAATGCCGCTCGTTCAGACTTGCAGGCACACAGTTATAAACTAAACTGTCTCCTGCTATTTAAACGCCATTCCTGTGCTTGCCATCATTCACCTACGTGTCTGCATCCCCTCTTTCAAAAACAGAGAAGTGACTCTTTTCTTTTTAAAAATAAACACAGGAAATGGGATGATACTGCCACTGCATTCACAGTTGAGTAGAAGCTAAGTGGGGACTCCAGAGACTACAGTTTTGGACTTGGACAAAAAAATGCCATATAAATTTAATCCAGTAGAATATGCATTTTGCAATGATGGCGTGGCCCATGCCTCTTCAGGCAGACAACCTGCAGAAACTACCAGTCCTCTCAACTAACATTAAAAGCCAGGACCACCAGGATTTCCGTAGGAGCCTATGGATACATATATTGTATTACTCAATGGATGCTGGTGCCTAAAATTTGCTTCCACAGTTCTGGTACAAGTAAATTGCATTCCAAAACAGCTGGATGGAACTGTGCCAAGACCCCTAGACCTTCCAGTAGGAACACCTAAAAGACACTTCAGAACGGTTTGTTCACCTTCCTAATCCTGCTGTCAAAGAAGGGATATTATTTTAATCATTGTGCTATCACTAGAGAAGCACAATTTGATGGACAAAGCTTCCAGTTTCTCTAAAACATCATGCAAAATGGATTTTTCAAGGCTACTTTCATTATGTAGGAGCTGCTTTGTTCAGGACCTTTAGTGTACAGACTCTCAGTGTAGTTGCAGATGTGGAAGTCTTACATTTTAGTACCATTAGGGTTGCTAACATCTCCACACTGAAAGGAAATTGAAGTACAGCAAAAGCCATATCTCAGAGTAGTACTGTCATTCCTGAATACATTTATCAATTTTCAGATTATGCTTTCACCAATTTACTAAGTGGTACATTTTAGTGCCCAGATTGCTCCTCATGTTTTTATCTAATTAGCCTATTCCAACTGGAAGTTTTATTATATAACTTGTTCAAAAAGAAAAGCAACAATATTGCTGCACTTGTCAATATGCTGATGTGATCATATGCTTCCTTTTTACTTTGTATCTAGTTCAACTGGATACAGAGAAATGTATTTTTATACTGCTTCAGACAACAAAAGAACTTTAATAGCACATTGGCAAGGAAATGTATTCACCAAGATGCGCTCACCTATCAGGAATGACCA